AATGTCAGCTTTTTTTTATTGTTAGATAGTAAAATTGGATGTATTTTCCCAGATAAACTACAAACAGCTTAGCTGGTAAAGTTCTGTGTAAAGCTGATTTAGTGACTGGATGTTTGTCTAAGTTCTGATCTTCTGTTGGTACACAATTAATTTTAAATCTGCCAGGCAATACCTATTCCTGCTTGATCTGCTTAGTAATTCACCATCTGTATATTACTTTCATTAAATACAACTTTTCTATAAGAAAAAAAAACCAACAACCCCCCTAACAATTCACGTATGCATAGTGGCTTTGAAATTTCATTATTGTGCTCAGGTTTTAATTGTGCAATGCAAATTAAAAATAAGAAAGAAAAAAAAGCCTTGCGATGCAGTCATATCAATAACAGATTTAGCAAAAAGCAAACTCCCCCATCTAAGAAGTTTTAATTTAGAATTATATTAAAATGATAACACTGCCAAGGAGGTTAAATAATTAATTTCTTCTCATTTTAATTGTAGACTATTATTTAATAAACAAAGTAATTTACCAGGTAATTTATTCTACTTCTTCATAGGCAGCTCATTTAAAGTCTAAAAATAAATTGCTAATTAAAACAGGATTCACTGTTTTAGAAAGCAACTAATTTTCCTCTAAAATCTAACAAGGACTATACAGCAGCATCCACAGAGAATCTTTGAAGGGCAAGGAAACTACCAACAATAATGAAATATTCTGATAACTGAGAAGACTTTCATCTGAACAATTAATGAAACACACAAATTTTTCACAAAACCCAACATTAGATCATTATAAAGAAACTTAGCTGAACACTTTGTTTCCCAGAGCTAACCAACTAGATCAAAGACATGTATGGTCCTTGAGAAACCACAGAGCACAGAAGATATTTGCACACCCCTCTATGCACATCTAGGCTGGTCAAGAGAAATATATTTCATATAATGTAGCAATTCCAGGTGTAGCCATACAACACTGAGACCTTGGAGTTCTGACCTTGAAGGCAGAAACCCAGATGGAATTTATTCCAGGCAGAGACTATTTACGTCTCCAAACCTGCTCACAGGAATCCCACCTGACCGAGAACATCAGTGTCAACTCAAAGTCAAGCTACAAAGTCCTCAACTCCAGAACTCGCAGAGATGAATGCCGTAAAATTTGTATGATTGTTGTGAACTACAACTACCACATGTTTCTAGGCCAATTCTCTAATTTTCCCCCAAATTCTGACTTCTTACCAGGCTGACATGCTGTTGGGCAGCGAGTCCACTCACTGAAAGGTGTAACAACACAGTCTTTCTTGCAGGGGAGGAGACACGGCCGCACGACCTCCGGTCGGATGGACTCTGGACATCTATTGATCCAAACACAAAGATGGAATATAATACAAAATTACAACTATGGAGAAAGATTTTTATTCCTAAGATTCTCACAGGGCTGTGAGCATAGGGTCATACCAAAGACACCACTTGTGATCAGAGCAAGACTCATTTTTTTCCTCCTTCGCACTCATGGAACCCAACGGAATTTAGGACATTTCAAGGACAACAATAACCATTGTGGAGCTCAGCTTGATGACTGCAGGCTAAATGTAGCTCTGTCTATGACACCAAAAATACAAAGCTCACTGGAACAAAATAGATGCATTTATTACCAAAGAAAGTGAGCAGTTATGTTTATACAGTCCTGTTTTAGCACCATGTGCAACAGCCTTCCAACCACTTGCAACTGTCTATAAGGACTGATGTGATGTTTCTCCATTTTCAATCCCTAGGAAACACAAAAGTAGCTTAAAGTGATTTTTTGATTGAGGACTTGATCGCTACTTTAGAAGTTGTACAACACAGTATAGTAAGAAGAGCTCTGTGATTTACTTCCTTCACTTTTAACTCCTAAATGAAAAACATGTCATACATATTCCAATCAAAGTGTCAG